AGGATGTGGTTGATCATTATCGGATCTTTCTTGCTCTTCTTCTAGATACTTGCAGACTAGCCAAGCCCAGCTTTTTTCTTTAATTCATTGTTTAGCCGACGGCTATACAAGATGGTATTTTTTTGAGAAATACTTCACGACTAATTACCAGGCCATTTCCTTTTTTTCCTATCTCTTATTCGCGAGGGCTTACTTTTGCCTCGTTCGTATTAAGTCCTTGTGCTCTTTTGCACTTACCAATCGAAGTAAGAGAAGGAAGACCCATTTCCATGTTATTAATTAATGCTAAATCAAAGTATCAGATATCCTGTAGAAAAGGTTTTGTCTGAATTTCTTAGTTTAACATTTTAATTGTGATTAGTGAAGCAATACCTCACTGGATTAAAGGAGTGGGACTATTACGGTGAAATAATAAAGATTGAAATCCAAGGTTTGGAGGTCAACCAAGCTTGAAGATCATTCAATTTTATCCTCATCGTTCGGTCTCTATATTGACTTTTTTGAATAAAATGTATAAACCTATAATTTTTTACAGTTTATTCTGTACATAAACATCATGCAATTTAGTATCTTTGATGGCTGTTTTCACATAATTTACTTCAAAGCTATCCCATTAGTTTAGAAACTAATACTGATAGTTCCTAACACCTAGCCCACTACTAAGATTTGCATGTTAGCATTAATCACTAATGAATATTGTTTTTCTACAATAGTGCAAGCATTTGAAATATAAAACGCCTGCTTACGTTCTCATCTCCACTAATATTATGTGGTCATTAAGGAGTTTATATATATATTCCATGTGTCAGTTCCTTGCTCTTGATTGATGTACTCACACTTCGCACTTTTAAAAGATGTTGTAATTGCTGATTATTTGGCAAAGATCGCTCTTGTACTTTTAAAGCAATTGGCCTCAACTTATTTTGGTATATGTATTTGGCTGAATAAGGGTTGATTTCTTCCTCATTCCGATTTCCATCATCACCTTAATAGGCATCAGTCATCACGAAAACGCGCATGAAAAACTAGGTTCTTAAAAGTCACTACAAATATATAGTTTTCTTCCCGATCTCCTTTCGATCACGATTCCTTTTATGCTTGGAATAAAGAGATAGACACTTGACTCGAATCATGGTAACTGATTTAGATGCCCTAGGCTTAGAAATCTTGGCCTTTATTTAAATGTCCTGGTACAACATGAACATGATATCTGCTAAAAATTCTAAGTCAATCTTTTTAAATTTGGACAAACGAGCCTGGATGTAACTGCCCATCTATGACACTTTGTTGACTAAGAATATCTATCCGTTATGCTTGAAAGTTCTTTTCTGGGTCTGCAATTCTGGTTGGGACTTAGTCAATTTCACTTTAGTCAACTTTCATCCATCATCCAACTCATGATTTGCTTTGCGTCAACAACTTCACCCCTGTCTCTGTCTTATGATGGGTCTTTAGTTTATTAAACCTTTTTTATTCCAAGATATTTGTGATATCTCATGATCATTTTACCTCAGAGAGATTGTATACTTATCAAGATATCTATCAAATTGCCACCTAGCTGAATTATTTTTATTTCTTTATTCGTTATCACTTTAAATTGAGCAAGAACTCTTTGCCCATAGAGCGACAAAATACTTGGGTTCGTTGCCGGCTTTTAATATACTATTTCTGCTTTAATTTGCATTTGTAATATTGACTTCTCGAACGCACAATATATTTTTATATACCTTTAGAAGCCAAGTATCACTTTTTCACTTGGATTCAATCACTAAACTTTTCTTGACCAATAATGTAATTCTGGTTTCCAACTTGTTTGCTTGCTTGGTTGCCATTCTTTTTAGATCTGAAATTTAATCTTTTATATCACTTTTCATGTTTATCTTGCCTTCTGCGCTTTCCTACCTGTTTTGGTATACTTCCGAGCGAGGTCTTGTGCATCTTTATCCCAGATAAGCTATTGTCTTCTCTTATATTCTCACTGGAACTTTCCGAGGAACAACATTGATATATATATTACCCAATATTTTACTACTTCGCTGTCCGCTACTTTGAATTCCTGGCAGATGATCAGGATGACTCTCCTCTGGCCTGCACATTTGATCGGCCAGATAGGCCAATTTGCTATTGGAAGGAGGATCCCCGTGACTCTGGCGCAGTCTGGCGAGTTGGTCCACCGGACTCTCTTTTGCCGACAAACTTTTCCCGATCTATGAACTCGGCTATCTGTTTGAGGCAGGTATCGTCTTTGGCCCCGTCCACAATATCTCGAAAATGGCGTATATCATCCAACAGCCTGTCATCGGCTAACAATATTCCTATGTCGGCTCGTCTCTGGAGCCCAACAATAGCAGTGGCCACCCTGAATAGTGGTTTTTCTGAATCTTGGAAGGAAGAAAATCAGCTAAGTTCTGCTTTATCTCATCTCGAGAATGCCGACTCTGTTATCCTCTGTCTCAAATTCGCCTATCGCATCACCCTTGGTCAGCCTACTCGACGTGTCTCCCCGGACACTCAACTTCCACCGAAGCCAATTTCTCAGCTTTTGTCTGTTCTTAAGCACTCCTCTGGGTGAGCTTATGGAAGACTGGAGTTCACAGTCTCTTGGCTCTAATAATTCCCCTTAAATCTACTAGCATCCCTTTTGCATATTTTCTATATTATGTTTTGATTGTCTTTCCATCTGATGTGGCCCTTATTGTGTACTTTTTCCATTTTCTTTACAACACCTCTCCTAAGTCTCCATACTAAAATGTACGTGACTATTTCGATACATTGAAGATTAATTTATACATCTGGAATCTTATCCAAATGATTGTATACACCGTAATCCCTAAGATACCCTTGACCTTCGTACATTTATCCCTAAAAATTGGAAGCCTTGTTCTGAATTGCCCCATAAATATTGACTTAGCTTCATCATATCTAATAAATTTGTAATCCTTCCTGCTGCTAACGTCTCTTCTGGATAAGACGCTTTTCTCCCAACGGTTCTTCTTTTCTTTATTACCTTCCTCTGTGGGTTTTGACCTTGCTTTTTAACTGAGCATTGTTTTCCCGGAAATTTTTGGGAATATTCTTGGAACGGCATTATATGCTATTATTCTCTTGCATTTTTCCAGCTTCGGACCTTTGGTTGGATACAGATTGTTTGTTTACCATCTGGACATCTTTCACATGAACCAATCCCATTGGACCAGCTTGTTAAAATCCATTGGTTTGTTCTGAAGAACTTATCTTCGGAATGGTTTGTTTTTTTAGATTGACTGAAATCCTCTGCTTCTATTTATTATCCAGATTTATTTTCTACTGCACACAATCTTCTTTCTTTCGTGTTCTTTTCCTCTAACATTGGCTTAATATTCTGCTTTCATGATACGCGAGAGTTTGGACAGCTCGTCATCACCTATCTTTTATAAAATAGATTGCGCATACCCATTTTGTCTAGCCGGGTTGCCTTAAACTGGTTATAACATTTATTCCGATTTAAAATGCTAGTTTATATCTACCCTAAATACGGCTTACTAATAAATTCGTCAAAGGTTATTGTTTTCACATATTTAACACACGTAGAGCCACTAATACGGATTATGTTATATTATTTAAATGGATGCTCTAAGGAAGTATAGGGTTCGGCCATATAACGTTGTCCGTCTGGAGATACTAAATCCTTATTCCAAATTATTTTAAAAATAGGTAATTATGCGACCTTCAAATTATCTTTATAGTCAGGCCGGGCCCTTGAGCTGTAAGCTAACTTTTTAATGCATTTAAAAATCTCTTTGCTTGGTGATATCTGATTGCTTTATTCAGAATAGTTTATAGCTTTATTTATTTGCATTTTCTTTACAAGTATTGATAAAAAATGAGGTCAGCAATTCGGCTTTTTGCATATATGCTTAATTGCCATTTTTCATGACTTTCCGCTTATTTAGTAGTCTTTATCACTAAGTCGCGTCTAAATGCATGATTGTGATTCGAATAGCTCAGGTTGCTTTTTTAGAACTAACTTCTTTCCTTTCATAGTTCTTTGATCCAAAATTTTATTCTAGTTTATCTTCATTCAATTTACATTCATTTCTCTTTCTGGATGAAAACATTGATGCATCTTGCTGTGAATAACTTTTTGCAAGGATTCTTATTTCCTTTACGCAATCAAGCTTATAAAGTGGGCTGACCTCATTTACGCAACTTGGTCGTGTTGTCAAGGTGATTTACTTATACGAACCTTGTCCGAAGTCCTCTTCCATAGTAGTCATCATAATTCTCAGTGTCAGACCATGGACCTTGTACATTGCCTGACGTTTCTCTGACATCTTTAGCGGGTCTTGCCACTTTTAGCACCAACTACAACTCGTCAAAGAGGCAAGTGAAGTTTATTTCCTTGGTTAACTTTCTGCTGAAACGGTTGTTCTATCACTCGTTCTGTTCTGGCAGAAGCAGAAGACTTCGGACCAGATGAGTCTAACTATGTCGCCTTGACAACACGACTGAGTTGCAAAAACGAAGTCATTCTACTTCTATACATCATAGGGAGACTGTGACCATAACGAAAGTCACACCATCTTTGCCTTTATATCCTCAGAATTATTAAGTTTGAAGTACTTTACCGTTGCTGGATTCGAAAATCTCATTCTTTTTCTTCTCCAGTGTATTTTTACCTATTTTTTCATGTGATTTTCTGAGTGGAGTTGGTCTGGCAAACTGGCATAGTTGCATTTATCGTGTATCCTCTTTATACGTTTTATGACGACTTTTCCGGCAAAATTCATGCTATCTTGGATATATACCGTTATCCATCCTTGTATATATTTAAATACTTCCGTTCTTAGCAAGCAACGATTGGCATCAAGCTCATGATGATATTGGTTTCCCCTCCTATGCTGCCCAACTTGACTGCTCATTCGATGCAAGAGCCTCGGAATTCGGGCCTACTTGTCTGTGGCAGAAAGATCCACGAGACTCACTCGCTGCATTCTGGCAACCAGTGACTTCGCTACCTCCAAAAGCTAAAGTTCAAGATAACAGTCTTCAGACTGACTCGAAAGCCATTTCAATTGAACGGCAACTCTCAGACAGTGACAGTAGAATTCTCTGCTTGAAACAGGGTTCCGCCGGTTCTTCTTCAATTAATTCATCTTCCTCACGGCGCCGTCTTCAACAAAACTCTCCCGAGATGCGCCAAGCCAATAAGGCTTCTCATCGACTTTCCGCTCGACTGTGGAGCCCCGAAATTGCTAGTTTCGACGTCGCGACGCCTCTTTGCCTTCGTTTTGTCTACACAATATTTCCTTCGGTTCAGGCTACCATTAGTTCCTCATCTTCCAGTTGGCCGAATGAAGATATCACTTCTAGGGCACTCTATTCTTTATCACTTTTAAAGCATTCGTCTGGGTGAGCACTATGAGAGCTACGGAAGATTCTCCGTATACTTTATATAAACTAGATCTAGGCCTCTCCAAAATAGGAGAGAATTAAAGTTCTTGTCTATATTCTCACTTTATAATTTTAAGATTTATTTATGAGTATTCACACAGTTTACTTTTGAAGCAAACGCCATAAACCAAGGGCTAGATGCATATATTTTCGGCTGACCGTTTTCGTGTAAAATTATGAAGTGGGCATATTCGGGTGTTGTCCCTTTCCGAAATTATGCTGGATTGTGCATGCACCATATGCAGATAGAAGGGTGGGGAACCACCCTTACTACTTCTTTAGACACAATTATGCTTTGAACCTAGCGGGCTGTAAAACTTTTTGACTATCCTGGCTACCAAGTAATAGGGAGTATTTCTGCGTTCATCTCTCTATATAAGTGTTTTTCGATGTCTTTTTGTGGGTCTTCAGCCGATTTCTCTAGTAGAAGGGGCATTCCTACCATCTTTTCTCTGGCTACTCCAAGTTTTACTAATCATTCACTTAGAACACTCATCACTCCGACCAGGTAGTAAGTCTGTTTTCACGGTTGGGTTGACGAACTTCATGCATGAGCTGACTTCCCACTTTTTCATTTTAAAAAATTCAACTTCCCAGTTACACAACTCAGGGCTTTTATTTCCTCGAAGATAGTTTGTTCCATTAGGAAAGAACATCACTTATATGAACAAAATTAATAGTATAAGACACCACTTAACTTATTGATATCCCTTGCTCTCAGTTTATTACGTAGAGTTCAATTTGCGAAGCAAAAGTGATCCTTTAAGCTATAAATAGCTCTCCAAAACCAAAATAATTAAAATAACTTTACATGAGTCATTTATTTTGTGTGTTCTGCTCTGCTCTGTTGAAGATCGTTCTTGATTTTGCAAAATACTGGAATCATTTTCATTATTTTACGAGTTGATTGCTCTTAGTTATTTAACGAAATGAACTTGTTTCCTTGTCAAATTCTTCACCATATAATTGGTGTTCTTCGCATACAAGCTTCATAATTTTTTACATGTAATTGCCAGGTCTTATAGTATTCTTATCCTTCACTGCTCACTGCTTTCCTTTATCCCTTTGGGCTTACCATGTGCTGAATTTCAAAATGCATATATTATGACTTCATGTTCAATTTAATCCCAGTTCTTGTTTTCCTTCCCATACATTATTTCTCTTAGCTTCTTATTTTTGCCAAGCGGATGGTGGCCCATAAGTCTTTGTCGGGATAATCAACCTTAGTGCTATAGAATCAAGTCAAACTTGCTTTCTAACATAAATCATACTTACTCTGACTAAACTGGCTTTCAGCCGATCAGCCCCGCCTACGAAGCTTGACCAGGACTCTTCGTAACATTACAAACCGACTTGATTGCACATTTGATCAGGGCTCTTTTTGCCTATGGAAGGATGATCCTCGCGACGTTGGCGCCAGCTGGACTCTGCAGCCAGCTCGAGTAATTGATATCATTTCTCCTGCTGATCCATTCATTGTCGGCAGAGATGATGGGATGCTTTGTATGCAACCTCACGAACTGGAGCTGGCTAATTCTCTAGCCTCTGAGGCTGCTGGGGAAAACGTAGACTCAACAGGACATTTATTAGGGGAATCTTCTTTTGCAGTTGCCCAACCAATGCAAGATGAGGGTCAAGATGTACTGCCTCCTAACCGGCTTTCTGCACGTCTTTGGAGTGGCAATATCCATCATTTATCTTCTCCTAGCTGTTTGCGATTACATTATTTCTTGGTTGGTGGTATATCAAACGTCGGCAAACCGGTCAAATCACATCTGATTCAATTATCTATACTACGTCACTCAGCTGGGTATATGCATATCTTAACTTAAATATACATACACGCGTATACATTAATGCCCATTTTCCTTCATATCGAATGCACCATTTATGAGGGGCAAGATAGTTGATGGGTCTTTAGATTTGGTTTTATCTTTTACTTCACTTGTTTGAAATCTTTCGATTTAATTTTGGAGTCTTTGTTACGTCGCTTCACGTTGTCTTCCTTTGTTGTTAGATTTGAACTAAACAGAGACCCAAGCGATAAAAAAAAATAAGTCATAATTTAGCCTATACTAAGCCACTTCTTTAATTTTATATTCTAACTCGTTTTTTTCTTATTCCGGTTCATTCGTCAAGTTTATATGTGCCTTCTGCTGCTTCCATCACTTGTAATTTTTTCATTCCTATCACAATGCTAATTTGCCCTTCCATTTTAAAACTCTTTTTAGCAGAGTATGAATTTCATCTATTTTGAATACCCTTTTGGGCTCTCGACCCTTCTGTCATGTATTTATCAAAATTTGACTTTCCTGCTTCAATTTCTGGCGGGTTGGCAAGCTCTTTGACTTCCACTTTTGGTGCTCTTTCTTCACTATTCATCATTACCATATACTTCTGCCAATTCTCTTCTTTCTTTTCGTAACGTCTTTATCTTCGTATCCACCTGGTGCAGCCCACAATTTGCTGTCCAGCGAGAATCAGCGTATCCATGCCTCTCCAGCAGACTGTAACTTTGATCACGGTCATTCGTGTCGTTGGGAGCGTGACCCACGTGACGGTGGTAGCCGTTGGATCGTCACAGATGAAGGCTTTCCCGTTCCTATTTCAGACCGCCAAGCTCTGGCCAGCTATGCTCTCTGTCTGGAGGCCGGAGTCCGAAATTCTAAAGGGCAATTAGATGGTGGAAATGGATTTGAAGAGAACGAAGAGGAAGAGAATAAGTATGAGGAGGAGGAAGAATCCACTAATGATCTTGAAACGGAAATCTCAGGACAACTGAAAAATCCTAGTTCTCATTCTTTTGTCTCAGCTCGACTCTGGAGCCGAAATTTTCGTGTGCCCAGAGCTTGTAAAGCACAAAGTCATGCATGCGGCGCAAGATGTTTGAAATTTGTTTATCACCTGACTTTGGGGGGCTCAGGTCCTATGGTAGCATCCCCTCAGAATGTGCCCACTCTTGCAATTCTTCGCCATTCGTCTGGGTGAGATTTGTACATCACGAAGTGCTTTAATGGATCTTTTTTCTTCTCTTCATCTTAATTCTTTCTGTGGATCCGCCAGTTTCTAAAACAGCCAATGGATTTGATATTACCCCTTTAACTCAGCTTTCTTTTTGCCCTTTAATTAAGTAAATCCCGTGGATGCATTTCATCGTATGCTATCAATTAAACTAATACCCAAATGACAATGAAATATCTTGTTTTCTCATCAATATGCCTTGTATAAAGGAATCAAGATCACAAGAATGGAATGCACATCGACCAAACTTTTAGCCAGTGGTACAGCACGTCTGCCATTGCTCATTTAGTATGAATGTACCCTTGTGGGAGAGAAAATTTCAACCTCCTACTTCACGCTTTCCGTTCGTAGTCCCGACTATTTTTTGCTGTAGTATTCTAGAAGCATTGCTCATTCCGTCTTATTGTCTTCCTTATTTCTTTACGTTTCACTTGAGTTTAAATACCAGAATCAGGCAATTCTCAGGGAAACTTCACTCAATCAACTTCTTTCTTAAGTTAGAATGACCAGTTTAAGGGAGGAGTCATTCCTCGGATACAGCCTTAACTTGCCACATATCATTATTTAATTTTAATAATTATTATTGATATTTTCCCAACTGATATCAGAAGGTGAGCTGTATTCAGTTGGGCCTTGCATTATTTGCATTATTTATTCCATTTCCATCGTTATATTGCATTATTTGCATTAATTTGATTTTATTAATTATTATCTTGCTTTTTTATTTTTAATCTTGGCTTCTTGGCAAACCAACTGGGTTTATATACGTGATATTTTTCATACCTATATACACTTATAGT